TCATCCTATTCCTCACTTTTGGACACCTACTTCTACTATACTTTTATCAAAAGTATGTAAAATTGGTTATTGACAACGTATATCTGACCTTGGAATATTATAGACAATGGTCCTGAAACCACAATGAACATTCAACCAGACGCATTTTTCGGTATAATGTTCGTTTATTTATTCATAAGTTTTGCTTGGATGGCACTTTCTGTTTATATTTACACAGGTTGGGTCTTTTTTTGTTATAAAATGAAAATTTCAGGACTGTTTTTATTACAGGAAACAAGAGAAAATTTCCCGTTAATAAAATGACAACAGCAATGATATTTTGGGCATGTGTTGCGACCGCTAATTTACTAATTGATCTAATTTTTTGTTCATTTTTGGGGGCAGATTACAAAACAGCGATCGACAATTACAATAAAGTAAAAAAAATGTTGAAAAATTTTATTCAAAATTTGCAATTTTTAGACAAAAAATATCACAACTAAACTTGCCTACATGTACTCAACTCTTGTTTATGGTATTATGATGGTTTTAGCAGCTCGGGGATTTATTTTGTGGGTCATTAATGCAATTTTAACTGGATTTGTAATCAGAGCTTGTTGTGACTTATCGGTATTTTTTTCACTTTTGGTTTTTCTTTAATTTAATTGATTATTTTAGAAAAGTCCTAATCATGTAAAAAGCAACCCATTTAGTTCAGTTCCGAGGTATTTTTCATTAAGGTAGGAATTTATTTTTATAATTTTTTGTCAATTTTGAAGGTCAAACGTCTACATTAGTAATTTGCCTGAAGAAGCTCGAAATTTCCAAATTGACGAAACTAGGAGACGTACGGAGCCAGGGCTGGCTTCGATCCCTTCACAGGTGACATAATTATTATAAAAAAAATTAAAAAAATTTTTTTTTTGTTATAGTCCGATTTATTGAGCACTTCTAGTAGTTTTGCTCCTGTGAATAAAAACATGCTTGCTAATTATGACCCACAAGTGGAGCACAGACTTCAGCAATATACAGTGWYGATGACGTCACAATTGAGAAAATATTAATAAAATGTTTCATTTATAAGTATTTTTTATTTTTTCCTGAAACAAAAACCGCAAATCGTTCAATTTTACGTCACAAAAACCTTGTAAATTTTACACGTATGTAAAATGTTTCGGGATGTTCTCTCGATAAGTTTTTTTTCGTTACACAAAAATATTTGATTGGTTTATAATTGGTTGCCTATACTTTGCTGTGGGTTTTTTTCTCTAATTAAAGAGTAGTTTACAAAATTTGAATTTTTATTAATACAATTCTGGATAATAATTAAGCAGTATAGTTAATTAATTTTTTTTGTAATACACGTAAAAATTATTAATTGGTTGATCAGTGTATAATTGGTTGTCTACAGTAATAGACCTTGCTTGTTTTTTAACAAAAAATAGTCTATAATGTTTGAGTTTTT